TTTCATTTAAAGATTGGAGAAAATTTTTTAAAATATTTTTTTCAGTATAAAATTTATGTTATCTTATTAGTATAATAATTATTATTAGTATAATAATTATTATTAGGATGATAATTATTAGTAGTATAAGAATTATTATTAGTCTGATTTTATTTAAATATGTATTATTTTCTTATATTTTACTGAAGAAAACAAAATTGAAAGTGATGGAAGAATGAAAATCTAAACGAATTATTTTCTGAAGAATAATATGTAAAACATTTATCTTTCAATGAGCGATATATTAGACAGCTATCTCTTAATAAACATTAAGACAAACTTTCTCCTATAGAGCGTAAAAAAAGGCATATTATTAACTAATGAATTAAAAAGAACTATCGCCTAAAAAACAATTACAAGAAAATCTTTGCTCATTTTATAAGACAATTGTTTGATATAGGTTTTTAGCTAAAACAACTTGTCAGGGCATTTTAAAACCCTTTAAAAATTAACAACTGTTTTTCTTTTTAAATTTAGCTGAAATTTACAGAAGCAAAAAAATGATAATAATAATAATTATTATCATGCCTTCTTTCCATTTCTGGAAATCCATTCAAAACTAATTATATTTTCAACTAATTCAACGAACTATTTTCAACTTAATTCAACTAGTTATATTTTCATTTAGATCATAAAAAGTTATAAATTAATAATAATTATTACCCCTTTCTTTTTTGCTTTCTCCATATTTTGAGTTTATCGTACATTTTATTGTACAGTTAACATTTAGTACATTTATACTAAGTTAGTACATTTATACTTTTGTACATTTAAACTATTTTATTAGTACATTTATACTAATAAAAACACGCGTTTTTGGTTGGTTATATAATAAAAAGAAAAATGCTTTAAGTTCTTTTGTTATAATAATGCTTTTATTTTTATTGATAAAAGCAAAATAATTATTTTCATTAAATTTAGTTAATTTAATACAAATGTAACTTTAGGTTATATATTATATTTAAACTTGTTACTTAAAAATGTAATGAAGAAAATAAAAAAAATGCGATTTTAAATGTAATATTAGCATAATTCGATTTATATTTCAGGAGGAAAAAAAAATTCATTTATATATTTTATTCCATGTCGTTCTCAGAAAGCTGCTGATAAAAAAAAAATGCAAATAATTTGAATTTAATAATAAAGATGATAAGCATTTTGACGTGGCATTGAGTATTAATGAACGCTTTAGAACTACAAAAAAAACATGCATCGAAATAATCTAATCTAAATATTACTTTAAATTATAAATTTTATTTAAATTCCTTACATACAAAACATCACTCTAAAATTAAGAAAGTGAAAATGCGACTTTCAAAATATAGCATTAAAATTCTTTTTTAAAAAATTAAAATTTATATTTTTAATACGAAATTTTTAAAAAAAAACTAATATTAATTTTACATAAAATAAAACTATAAAGCCTGTATTTTGACGCAACAAGCTTTAATGAATACTTTGAAATTAAATACGCATGCACATTTTAAAATAGCCAAACAAAAACTTTTCAAAAGTAATTTTCCAGTTATTGCATTTGCTGATAATAACTAGAAATCTTTTTAACTAATCTGTAGATAAACAATGAAATTTACTGATTTTCTGAAATGTAAAGATTACAATATATAATTCAAATTATAAAAACAAATAAAAGTTAATAAATGGGTAAATAATAAATTTTACATGCAATCAATGATCATTCCCTAAAAATTTAAAACAAATTAATTTAAAATTATATTTTCTGTTCAAAAAAGAGCCTTTTTGAAACTATTGGGAGACTTAGTCTTTTTTTTTTTCTTTTTTTTCTTTCATTCTTTTTTTTTTTTTAAAGAAAGGAAATTGAGAACATGTAAATAATTATATTACCCGAATTAAAAATATTGAACAAAAGGTTTAAATCGACCTAAAACCAATCAGTGAATAACAAACTATTATAGCATTGTGTTTCGAAATAAACCTTTTTTTAGTATAGTCTTTAATTTATATTAAATAGTTGTCAATGAAGCAGAAAATGAAGCAAATATAGTTTAATAGTAGAACAAAATAAGATATAGCCATGGAACTATCTCCCTTTTCTGAAAAGAAAGAAGGAATATACATAGTCAAAATTTTAAAAATACTCTTAAGTATTAGTTTTTTACTTGATTTTATCAGGTTATTTATTTTTACTATGAATACACTCTAAGTTGCACTATCAAATCGGGATGGATTTGAATGAAAATGTATTTTGCATTTCGGACAATTTTGTTATGGATTATTTTTTTCTTTTCTCGTGAATTCTTTTAAAACTACACTAATCGCAATAGCAATAACTAAAAGAATACAATTTTCAAAAGATGAGAGAAAACAAAAATTTCAAAATATAACGATATTTTATTATTAATTTCTACACCCTATAGAAATGTAGGAAATAATAATAATAATGAATCATAAAAATTGTAAAATATTTTTCAGAAAAGGAATTTTGCCTATTTTTCTTTTTTTTGGGGTGAATTATATTTTAAAAAAATAATTAAAATTCAAATAAAATTACAATAAATATATTACTGAGTTCTTTTTTCCAAATAGCGATTAATTCTTTAAGTGCAATGTATACTTCCGAGCAAGTTACAAATAAATGAAGTCTATGAACACACTTCCGTTTGAAAAAATATATACTTATATATACTTACCTTTTACGCTTTATTAAACAAGTATTTATGGAAAAGTGTGTATGGAAAATATTTATCAACACAAAACCAGCGTAATTCTCCTGTGACAATTGGGATACGTTTCTTGTTATTACAACAAAAGCTGAAGTGAAAAATAAATAAAAGAAGTTTGTGGAATAGACATAGACAATACCATAAGCATATAAAATAGACCTTTGTGAAACAATTACAACGATCTTTAAAAGTCAAAAATTTAGCATTAAAGAAAAATTAAACATCCATGAAGTACTACTTATTAAAATTTTTAACAAAAACTAGCTCAGATATCGTTGTTGAATGAAAATTAAGCGCATGATAACTTTTCCATCAAATTTGAGCAACATAACTAAGTATCGTTACAACTGAAACTTTCAAACATACGATGCTTTGCTGTGCAATCTACGAGATGTGGTTTCTGAAATTACGAGAGTATTTAATCAAGCTGAATTAGCCAGATCTAAATTTAGGAGTAGTTATTATTTTTTTTTATTGCAAATTATTAAAAATCTATTCATTACGATTTACAAAAAATATTATTTAAGAAACTTAAATTTTATTATGAATGTATCTTTGAAAGGATTTTTTGTAATTCACTTTCTGCAGTGAAAATGCTGTTCACAGGTTTTAAATTTAACTTTTTCACCCCATATTGATCTAAAAAAATATTATAAAAATATAATAAAATTCATGAAAAAAATTTCATGAGCAAAAAAGAACACAAATTAATCGTTAATCTTTATAACAAAAATTTAAAAACAATTTCACAAGACTTTTTTTTTCTGAGAAAGTTTCAAAATGATATTTCAGTTCGTTAGTTTTGATTACAAAATTTTCAAAATGGAAAAATTCTTCGTTAGATGATGTGATTTGAGACTGTTGATAATACCTAAAGTTTAAGAATCTTTATATTTTTGTTTAAAAGAAAACTTAGATAAGTTCCATTCGAAGGAGAGAGAAAATTTCATCAGTATAAATTATTACTATTGTTTTAAAATGATTTATTTTCTTAAACGAGTTCGGTTCTCATTATACTCTTTCTTGAGGCCAACATATATTTCATGTAGATAAAAAATTATGAAAAAATAATTAAAAAATAAATTTTTTTTTAAAAAAAAGTTTAACTTTCATATTTTTCAAGCATAATACCAGTTAGATAAATATGTTCTCCATCACTAAATATGCAATTAAATAATCGTTTTGTTCAGTTAATTTATTTAAAGAAGATGCAATCGTGAAATAATTTTTAGTGATGTGGCTTCTTATACAAATAAATTTTTATTTTGAACCAACTATGTTTTTATGAACCATGTTTTTCTGGAATAATAGCGTCCACTTCACTATTTAAGTTATTATGCTATTTAATCAACTTTATTTATATTTTTCGTCACATTTCTATTTATGCAGAAGAGTGAAACTAAAAATGGAATAACTAACATCAACAGAATTGTAATCTAAAAAATTGGCGATATAGAATTGGCGCAATAGTGGAAGAGTACCAGCTAAATAAAGCCTTAATAACCCTGCTCTCCATCTCTAACTATGCTATTAAATAATCATTTTGTTCAGTTGATTTATTTGAAGGAGATGGAATCGTGAAATAATTTTTAGTGCAATGGCTTCTTAAGCAAATAAATTTTTGATTTAACCAAATATGTTTTTCTGAGATAGAAGTGTCCTCTTCACTCTTTAAGTTTTTTATTCAACTTTGTTTGCAGATTTCGGCACATTTCTTTTTTATGAAAATGACTGAAACTAAAAGTGGACTATACTAAAATTGAATACTAAAAATGGACTATAAAACTAAAAATACTAACATCAACGGAATTGCGTAATATAATAAATTGGCGATATAGAATTGGCGCAATAATAGATAATGGAAGAGGTGAAAATAAATACTAACAGGATACGCTGGAAATACTAACATCAACGGAATTGTAATATAATAAATTAGCGATATAGAATTGGCGCAATAATAGATAGTGGAGGAATAAATACTAACAGGATGAGCAGGAAATATTAACAACGGAAATGTAATATAATAAATTGGCTGTATAGAATTGGCGCAATAACAGATAGTGGAAGAATAAATATTAACAGGATGTGCAGGAAATATTAACAACAGAATTGTAATATAATAAATTGGCGCAATAATAGATAGTGGAAGAATAAATACTAACAGGATGTTCAGAAAATATTAACGACAGAATTGCAATATAATAAATTGGCGATATAGAATTGGCGCAGTAATGGATAGTGGAAGAGGTATTTGTTTACCTGTGAAGAGCATTGGTAGATTGGCTACTGGCGATGCACTGCCGTAGAAGTCGGGCTTCCCTTGCATCCACAGCCGGTAGACGTCGGCCGTTGTGGCTGAGTAGCGGCACGGCAGTTGATGCGGGCCCTCGCCCCGCTCTTTACCGCTGCCGCCGCCCGAACAACGCAACTTCACTTCCCCTTCAATGATGAACACCCACGCCGAACATTTCAACTTTCATCAATCTCCTTTCTTCAATGCAAAAATGATTTTTCTTTAAAATTCCCGAATTCTTGAGTCTCAGTTTATGCATCAATTTGAAAGGAATTCATTCGAAAGAGTTGCATTCGACAGAAAAACAAACTATTTCCCTTTTCGAACAAAAACTTTTTTTTTCTCTTTTCACTTGACTTCATACGAGCGAAATCATGAAATAAAAGAAAAGTTTTTCTCAATATTGCAATCGCTTGCAATTTCCCATATCATTTCAAAACAATTCGATATTTTCTTCAGAGCAGAGCGAAGTGAGTTGCGAGCGTACAGATTCGTCTGCGTGAGGAGGAAAAGTGAGTATCGTCTGACACCGGCTTTCGAGCTCCCATCGATCTGCCCCCCACTCACATTCAATACTAAATGTCCTACTAATCGTGTAGTATCCAAGACCGCAACCGCGCGCTAAGAAATGGACCAATGGGAGCAACGAAAGTCCGATACGCGTGTCAAGTATGTGTTCTTTTCCCTCCCCCCTTTCCGCCAATCAGAGAGCCGAGAGTTTTCGGTGGCTGGGGCATCTATGGAGAAAACCCCCGATCTAAAGCCAAGAAGAAATGCTAATGAATTATAGTCCTTTCCTTCCCTTCGGGAAAAGGGGGTTTTCCTAGGCCGGGAAAAAGGAACAGGATCCCGGATACCCCTGGATTTCCTCAATCAAAAACCTACCCCCCTTTTTTTTTCTTCCTTTCTACAAGCTTGTCCATGTTTGCGTGGGAGCCCTTTTTTTTTCCTTTCTCTTTTCATCCTCCGTTATTATCATCATTTTGTGTACTAAAAGAGTTGGCTTTTTGACACTTTAGAGATGACAAACACTATCAAAAGGACTTTCGCTCAAGAAAATTGTTGTTTGCCATTCAGTCATGCAATGATGGTTTGTTCCCACATTCTTGGCCATACGTTACATTCATTTATTTATTCCTTTTAAAATAACTTTAATGCCTATTTTTTTTATTTATTTATTTATTTTTTTTGCATTTGATATCAGTGTATTTTTTAGCCTCCCCAATTAAGGATTATTGTATTTTATTCGTCTATTAAAGCGATAATGTCCTGTGCTAAAGATAATTTCTTGATATTAAAAGAGATTTTTGTTTCTCCCTACAATTTATACGGACAAACTTTTCAAGTTTCCAATGCTAGTCGTTTAAAAAGCCTTATAAATTAATATATATAATAAGATTCTATGTAAAATTATAATTATTAGGTAATACTGTACGGCTGTCATTGTTTTTACGCGGATGAAACCGGTTTGCACTTGTGTACGCTCCTGTATCAATTGGTTAACATTGTAAAGCAATACGTTGAAAATAAATGCAAATAGGAAGTATATAAGTATATAAATAAATCTCCTGAATAAAATCCCATTACATGTATGTCTAAATATAAAAGTATTGCCTATAAACTCGTGCAAATCATGTCATTATTAAAAAACTACAATGCGTCTAATAATTTGATCTAATTATTACAATATACTAATATAATTCTTGATATAATAAATATTCTATATTTATATAATACATCGTCTAATTTATCCTATCGTCAAATTTATATTATATATCGTCTAATTTAACAAATTGATACACGAACGTAAACAAGTACTAACCGGTTTCAGTCGCGTAAAAACAATAAAGCCGTATAGTATCACCTGATAATTAAGATTTTACATAGAACTAGGAGGTTTCGCTCCCTGCTCGCGGGCGCTCGCCAACCCACGGGTTCATTTCGGATTGCTTCGCAATCCGATGCTCGCTTTGCTCGCTCATTGGATGCGTTCTTAACGTGTAGCTCTTGTATACTTTTTTGAACACTGATGTTCCGAAAACTTTTCACTGTAGAAAAGTCTAAACCTGTGCATTTCAATATTAATTGCAAACAGTTCACATATTTTTCTTAATCACACTATTCTAAATTTCAGTTGTTGAGAAAAGTAACTGTTGTAAGTTTTGTTTTAAAGTCTTTCCCACCAGAGGGCTAAAACCATGTGTTGTAAAACAATATGAAATAGTACTGAACGCCGGATGTAAAGCATCGGCTTCGATGAAGATAATTTTGTGAGAATTTTTTT